GAGGAGCTGATGCCAAGGGTTTTAGTGGAGAGCAAATGTTTTGAGAATGATGAGGGCAACGAATGTACAAATGTGCTTTACACAAATGATGTAAGTATGTATTATGATGAGTTGTATGAGCCCCCAATAAAATGATTTAAAAAAAAAGAAAAGAATGATGTAAGTATATGTACAAATATGCTCGATACAATTGATGTATGGATTGTTATAAGAACTGCAAGAGTCCCCAATAAAATGATTTTAAAAGCAAAAAAAAAGAATTCCTTTTGACTAGAAGCCACAGCGGATCCTGAACACACAGGCAAGAGGGTGAAGAGGGGCAGGAGTTGCAGCATGGCTTCAGTACCTACATCTCACTGCCACTGGGCCAATTCTGACTCAAAAGTGACCCTCTTCGGACAGAGCAAATCTGTCCATTTTGGGTTTCCGAGACTTTAAATCTTTACAGAAGCAGACAGCCTCATCTTTCAACTGAGGATCAGCTGGTGGGTTTGAACCGCTGAGTTGATGGTTCACAGCTCAGTGTATATCCCTCTACGCTACCAGAGATCAGTAAGGAGAACTGTACAGTATACATTGGCAGAATGATTTCACTTCTCCTCTGCCTTTCCGAGAACAAAAGGTGTAGGGCTATGCAAAGTGCATTGCAAATCGATGCTTTACTTTCTCAGTTACATGTATTTTTTTGCTTCAAGGTTAAAAATCACTTTCTATCATTGGTATTCTTTTCATTGTTAGTCTTCCAACCTATGCCACATGGTGTCTCCAATGTAGCTTCATGTTATAAGCTGTAATCCTCATCAAGTTTAAATATTTATTCTCTGACATCACCAGACCTATGTTCTCTTTGAATTTTATCTGAAAATTCTCCATAATTCTCCAGATTAAGCATATCTCCCCGGAGTTTCTGTGTGGAAGTACTTAACATAGTCTATTTTCAGAAGACAAAACCCAAGTCTCACAATTAAACAAACAGTAGCAAACATTTTGGCTTACTGGAAATCACTTTTACCAGGAATAGATAAAATGTGTAAGAAAACTCTTGAAATTCTATGGAAAGACATAAAAGATGATTGACTCTCTGGAGATGTCATTCCAGCGGGAAGACTTACTGTCAGTTAAACACACAGAGATGCACAACCATCCCTCAGGTGACTTGGACGGTGTGGGAACACCATGTTATCTACAGGCAGCCCCCATGCCTTGAATTTTACTAGCCCAAAGACCTCCTGGGAAGCCACTATTTTGGTTGGCCCTCACTTGGATCATACTGATAATCCAAAACTCATTCCTTTGTGATTCATTCTAAAGTATCATCTGGATTAGCTTTGGTCTTGCATAAGAGATGCAAACAACTTGAGCTGGTTGATATTTATGCAATGCTTTTGGTCAATTGAAAACTTGGTGAGGCCATGATGCTATTTTAACATTGAAGACGCCGGCTTATGCACCATACCAGCCTTAGTTTCTGTCATAGCAATGGTCATTCTCTGGTCTTCTTCCAGTGTCTGCTTCTTCATTCATGGAGGTGATGGTCTTCCCTTTCTCAGCTCATCTCTGAAGTCATCCTGACATTAGCCAGTGTGGTTTTAAGTGAAACAGAATTCCCACACACTTTCCGCAAAAAACCCAATAACTTGGGAAATGGCCATTTGAGTCTCATTAAAAATGTAATATTAGCTCTGACCTTAAACCCATTTGATTTCACGGCACAAAAAGTATTCCTTTCTGAAGGCACCCGAAGGAGACGGAGATAAGCGTGTTGCTGAGAACATCTCTCTGCGGCCATACACTGATCACAGAGACATATTTAAATGTGTTATGCTTGAGTAAGTCTGCACACACGCACTGGAACCTTCGTCACTGTGTGTGGACTCACCCTTGTACGCAGGGCTGCTATGAGTGGGCACGACTTGACGCCACCCAACAGCAACAATCTACAGACAAGGCAGTGGGATGCGGAAAGGCTGGATAGAAGGGCAGTTCTTCTTTTTTCAGATAAATATCTTTTACCTATTGATCGGGACAGGCTTAGGAGTGTGATCCAAAGGGAAAGGGTGCAGTTCTGAGGCATGGATCTGAATGTGTGATTTAGAACTATGAAAAATGTTCCTCAGACTCTCTAGTCTGTTGTTGGAGCTTATATTGAATCCAATGAGAAACCTGGAGACTTACAAATGGAAATTGTCATGGGCAGAATGGAGACTTTCTATTCCCACCACCTGGGAAAAATAGGGGATTCTGAATGTTTCCATTTTTTAATAAAAAACTAGAGTATAATAAAATAATGTGGCATCACTGAAGTTCGATTTCACATTTCCAATATGATTTTATTTTAAGGGGCTAGGCCTACCGATGAAATGCATGTGTGCTAGGAAGTGTCCTTCCATTCTTCTACTCCTCCTGAGCAATGGCTGCCCTTGCTTATTATACAGGACTCTCAAGGGTTTGTTCACAAGTATTTGGGCCAGAATAACAAAAGTACCTTTTACTCTGAGAAAAAAAATCATCACACAATTTTGGGTAACTTTTCAGAGGAAATACTATCAGAAACAGAGAGTGGTTTTGAAAAGCCAATTTATATGAAGAGGCTGTCTATTACTGTACCAGCTATATCCAAGGGCAGCTCAAAGTGAGCTCTGTTCTCTGCCACTTGGCAGCAGGTATTACAGATATCGAGAGCAGGCATTTGGAAAATTCTTTAACGAGTTGATAGAATAATTCTAAGTTTATCTTTGTTTGATTTTTCATTGTATCTGAGATGGATTGGAAAAAGACCTCACTGATTCTCACTTACGGATGGATTGAGAAGCACTAATCAGTTCTATGCTAGTACCATACTTCCAGTAGCTTCTACCATGTTCAGAACCTACTCCGTGCCAGGCATGGTGATATAAGTGTATAACGTACACCACTCTTGGAACAATCTTGAAATGTTATTTCAAGCACTGAGGCCTGCTTTACTTTGTAGGTCACCAATCAAATGTTGAGCTAGGGAGCAAGCAGTAGACATCATGTTAAAGAAACGAGATAAAGAAATGTGATCACAATCACACTTAAATCACATTTAAGTATAAGAATCACACACACAAAAAAAGATTTGAGCATTTACTATGCACTTTAACAAACATTATTTGAACTCACACCTGTCTGTCAAAAGCCTTGTTTCTCCTTTGGATTTGTATTAACTCTGCTAGTTAACAGCATAGAGGGTCTCAGAACCAAGATCTCCTGACTTTTATTGCCTTCATTCATACCTTCATTACATTCTCGTTCTTTCTTTCTTTTTTACTGAATGCTGGTTAAATGTCATAGTCAATCAATAAATTAAAACAAAACACCCCATTCTTTTATTGAGAATTAGGTGAGGGCTTACATAGCAGATTTTCTTTGCATCAATTCTTTTAAGTTTCTTGTGATATATGACACTATCAGGATACATGGGCAAATTTTATCTTCAAAGAGTCACCATTCCAATAGGGAGATGGTTATCTTACAGAAGAATAGGCCAAAAAGACGTGCAGACAAGAGGCATCTTATCATTTAATTTCCCTTTTGATCTATTTTAAATTTGTTCTAATTTTCAGTATTTTCTGCTTCCTTTTCAATTGAGGTTTTTCTGTTTTACTTTGTTATTGTTAGTGTCTTGTTTTGTGTGAGTGTTTTTGGTGTTTTCCTGTGTATGAAATCCAGGATAGGTACTTCTGCAGAGACAGTAACCCCTTGGGGGTCTGGTAGGGAAGGTTGGGGGGAAATAGGGAGCTAATAATGAGACAAGAATGTGTAGAAAGTGTTTGAAAATCGATTGTGGTGGTGCTTGTACAATTATTCTTGATGTGATTGAACTACTGAATTGTATGATACATGGATTATGTGCCAATAAACGTGTGAAACGCAAGCAAGCAGCGCTCCAGGAGCGTCTCCGTTTCTCAGTGCTGATACAACAGAAGTACAAGTGAGTGGCTTTACAAAGAGCAATGCATTTTCTCTCAGCTTCATAGGCTTGGAGTTCCATATTCACAGCCCTAACTGGAGGGGAAAGAGTCTTTCAACTCTGAGGACAAATCCTGTCTGTTTCTCCAGCCTTCTGGGAGACCACCACATACTGTGCAGTTGTCTCTGTGTTTAACCCGCTCTTCTTATTGCTCAAGCATGTTTAGGGTTTAAGACACATCCTACACTGACATGGCATCATTACACACCATTACATCCATAAGTGATGTAACACTAACACTTGCTACCTAGCTGTATAAGGGTTTACAACACATATGTTTGGGGGCACAATTCAATCCACACCAGGAGGTAAAGTGAGGAAGCCCATATGTACAGAAGCCAATGAAGACATAAGCCGAGCTCCAGAGGGTTTGTTTGAAGAGAATATTGGTAGGAGAATTTACAAGACAGGGTGAATGGTGCCTGCTGGCATAAAGGCTGGTTGTTCGAACCCACCCAGTGGCACTGTGGGAGAAGCAAGTCTGGCAGTATGCTTCTGCAAAGATTGTAGCCAGGGACAACCTCTGGAGCAGTCAGTTCTACTCTCCAACCACGAGACCAAAACCAACAGCAATAAAAGGCAGGCTGAGAACAAGAGCATAAAATATTTTGCCCGTGAGCACTAGATGCGTCTACAGAGGATTTCAGAAAGGAGAACCTGCAGGGTCTGGGCAGCATGCTGGGGTCTGCTCTGGAACTGGAAAGGCCCCCAGAAGGCAGCCAGATTAACCCCGTCCCAGTGGAAATGGTGACAGTATCCTGAGCAGAAGGGAGATTTCTGCAACAGCTTAGCTAGAATTGCGCAAGAACAATGTGGCAGGCCCACAAAGAAGAGAAGACCAAAACGAAGCATTAACACTCACTTTCATTGACTGGGTGGATTCCCACTCACAGCACTCCTGCAAGACAGGGTCCATCTGCCCCTGTGGGCTTCTGGGATTCTAACTAAACTTCACGGGAGTAGAGAGCTGCCTTTCTCCTCAGAAAAAAAATAGAGGTTAAGTATAGGGGGCTGGAAACGGACTCGATGAGTGTGTCATGAGAGAGAATGGGCTGTGCATGCACATCCTATGAGGGGACTTCAAAAAGTTCATGGAAAAATGGAGTTAAAAGACAATGGAAGTTTTCCACAAAACGTTTTGAAGCTCTCTCTCTCGTGGAACCATAAATTTCAGCACAGAAGACTGATCCTTCATTATGCTGTTGTTTTTGGTTTCTCCTTAGTTTTGTGGAATCCGGAAAAATGAAATCAGCATGATACAATGGTCACCATGTAGCTCATAAACAATGAACGTAGACTGATTCAATTCAAATGGTTGGTTTCTAATGAGAAATCCCTTATGATGAAAAGGGGACTTGAAAGCAAGTCAAGACACTGAGTGTGTTTGTAAGACTCTGGTGTGGCCAGTATGTGTTTTATGCCCCACTTACTGGCCATTTCTGCACTAACCTCCCCACTTCTAATGCAGTGGCCCGAACAAAGCCCTGCCCCCAAGGGAAGGAGCGCCACAGCGTGGGCCTGACATAAAAGGCTTGATATCAACAGTGGCGTCTTTTGAACTGTCTAAGGGATTTTCTTTCAAACAGAGACTTAAGATGTTATTTCAAGAAAATGAGATCTGAAAAGTAGGGCCAATCTCTTTCCATTCTGGGTGCCTGCTTCTGACCCCCGGCACATAAATAAATGGCTGCCACTCCCTAGCTGAATTGTTGTTTTGTGTGTTGCCGGCAACTTTAGAAGAAACGGTCCTTTAAATCTCAAGGCATAGAAAAGGAAAACAATGAGGTTCCAGGGCCTATAAGGGTTCTCTCCCTGCATGACTCTACCATGGAGGTCTCTGGAGCCACTCGGGGAAGGCAGGCCTATGGCAGGTTCCTTACCTTCTTCAGCAATGACGGTCAGTGTGACTGCGACACCGGCATCTTTGATCAGCTGGACAATGTTATCATGGGACAGCTCAATAATGGACTGGCCATTCACTGCAGAGATGTGGTCGCCAACCTTCAGTTTCCCACAGCGGTCAGCAGGACTTCCTTCAATGACGCGGCCAATTTTGTGAGGAATAACTAAGGGGGAAAAACAACCACCCGGACTTTCAATTGCTGACGGTGTCTGCTAGTGCTCGGGTTATGAGCATTACCCCTTAAAAATGCAACTCCATTGCAGCCAAGAAAAAAATTCTTAAAAACACACCCCAAAAGAGGTGGCTACTTTCATATTACATCCCGTGGTTTGCCCACATACAAACATACTCTTCACACAGTTGGAATAATAACATATGTGTCACATCTCTTTGCTGTTTTCTGCTTACCAAAACCCTTTGTCCTAATATTTACATGGTCATCTCAGTGACCTTGTTTAGGGCTACTGCGCACACAGACCGTGACAGTATCTCGTGGACAGCATGCATTCACTGATATCATCCGTGCGGTTTCTTGATGGCTATCTAGGCCGCATCAGGCTTTTAGTTGTTTCAGAAACGGCTCCATGGAGAACTGCTGAAGAATTTCCTCAGTATAAATGTTTTCTTGACTTGGAAAGGGGAGCTTATGCCTCAGGAAGCTTGTAAATAAATGCAACTGAAACCCAATGCTCAGACACCGAACTCCAGGTACAGTGAAATGGCTGCCAATTATAACATGCAGTACTTGTGGAAATAATAAGTCCTACATGAAAATAATTCCATTTATCTGTACCTTTTGATCTTTTTGAAATCAGATCAGAAAGGTTGGCTGGAATTGGAGTGTTAGATGTTTGACGTAAAGACACTGGCCTGTGGATAAAATCCCACCTTGAACACAAAGTCAAACCTAACACACTGACAAAGGCAAACTGTTCAGCACTACTGTCTCTCAAGCTCATGTGCAAAAGGCTGTCCTAGACAAACTTTGCTTTTATTATAATTATGAGGCACTTGGTTTTTATTATAATTTAAGATTAGTTCTTCACTGAACATCTCCCCTGAGATCAACTTTGAGCCCAAAAGCAGAGTGGCATACAGAATAATGAACTTTACCCATAAGAGCAGGGCTTTCTAGAACCACCACCAGTGTGGGACCACACGGGCAGCAGTCACCCTGAAGCAAACATGAGAAGGGCAGGGAAACGAGAGTACCAGAGAGGGAATAGGAGACGGCTGGCGCATTATGGAAACGAATCCAATACCACCAAGCTTTCCGTGTGGAAGCTGTCCGATGGGATCCTAACTGCTATGCCACCTTTCAAAATAAACTCCCGACAAAATAGGACTTAAAGAGAGAAAGCGAGAGAGGGCTCTCAGACATACAGGCAATCTTGCCAAAAATGCTTCTGACTAGGTAATAAGGGGCATCTGTACTAAGAAACCAATGTCTTTCTGTATTCTTGGAGAAGTTCCTAGCTTGGGTCACAAAGCATTATCTAGCGCTTGGGCTCCTGCTAACTGATTGTTTTGAACAGGGATAATTAGTATTTTTAAATGGCACTGTGAATGATATTTAATGTCTACAGTAAAACAAGCCCCTTACCAGTGTTCCTGAATCGCAGCTAGGTGTTTGTTATGGATTGTTTAACAGGCTTTCTTTCATCAGGACTGGAAAAGTTACTCTTGCTCGTGACTAATGCTCCAACAGACAGGGCCATTTCTGGGCTCTTCTAGGATTATATGCAAAAAGATTTTATCTTAAAATAGAGGAAGTCAAAGTTGGAAGCAAGTGCTACTTTTCTCTGAATTACATCGAGCCCTTATGACACCACTTTCCTCACAAACAAACTAATTAGAAAAAAGCCAATGTGGTACTGTGCCAGGAATGCCAAGTAGAGTCACTAGCGGTAAAACAGGTGGTGCCTCTGACACATACGGTGAATCCTATGATGGCCCAGGGTGACCTTCTAAATCAATACCTTAGTTATCGTCCTTAGGAAAGATTCGCTTGTATACAGCATGCCTTCTCAATCCCCTGAGAGGAAAATCATTCAACACCTGGTACCTTCAAAGGGCTTTGTTCAGACTTGGAAAAGCATCTAACAGAATTAATCTCTGATGTCTCCATGGTCCCCTCTCCTTTCTCATCATGTGCTAATAAGGAATTGGCAAATCTTAGTACAGAACTTCCTAAAGGGATGGCTGTCCAGGTGGAGAAAGGTTGTCACCATCTTCACTGGCATTTCTGGTGGTGGCACCCAGTGAAAACTAGCAAACAGACTTCTGAACATTCTCTGGACGCTCTGGGAAGTTTTCAAGGTAACACCTTGTACTAAGCACACCTAATGAGGAGTCTGCCATCCTGCCTGACTGGGGATGCACAAAGCCTACAGGCATTTGCTACGGGATAACTTAATCATCGTCCTTCATTCTCGGCCTAAATCTGTCTCATAGCCTGGCCTGTCCAGTTGTTGATCTCACTCTAGTGCCCTTTCAACATTACTTTGCATGGAAACAGGGGACACTAACTGGAAATGTCCTCTTCTCAAAGAAATCCTTTGCAACCAGAACTGAAATGTACACCAAAAAGTAATGTTAAAAATTTGAATGCAGTAGCAAATCCTTAACCAGCTAAGCTTTTTCCATCTCAAATCCAGGTCTTCCTAGGCACTCCATTCATTCAGCACTTAAACAAAGCGGGGTCCAGGAAGTGAGGATGCAACCCTGATGTCAAAAAGTCAATGGTAGAGACCCTCCCAATTTTGTAACTGGTCTCGGAGATGCTATCAGAAACTTTCCTTGTGACAAATGACACCAGGAAACATTTGATCTGAGGAGAGGGAGAGAAAAAGCCTTTGCTGAGCAGCAGAGGCAAGCCTCATAAAGGCTGGTGTGTGACTGAAAGGTTTCTGATTGGCAGCCTTTTTCTTGGGCTAACTCTCCTCAACCAAACCTTCTCTGTCAAAGAGCCAGCAGTGTGATGCTCAGACCCTGTTCACTCCAGGACATCTCTCCTATCGACGAGTATGCGAGGTGCATGGGTTACCAGGAAGAATGCTTCAAGACTCAGCATTTACTGAGATTATTAACTAGCTTTTCAGTGGAAGGATCAATTCTGGCTTTGTCCGATGACCGAGAATCTCAAGTACCTTGTATAAAATTCATCAACAACCTGAGCTTAGTTTACCATTGAGGCTGATAATTAGTGAGCTGCAACACTCATTTCCTGCCACACATTAGCTGCTGTCACAATCTTACATTTTAATTGGGCTTTCTTTCCTATCTTGCTACTCAAGTAACTTAAATTTTTTTCTTTCTTTTTTTTTAACCAAGTGACAATGGTAAACAATTTTCTAAAAATGCTGATGTTGCCAACAGCAGCAACAACAAGCACAGCTAACTTTTACTGAAAGTCCAGACTGAGAGCCTGACAAGCCAGAGCCCCTTCATCCTCCCGACGTGACACAGGAGCATAGCACAACTTCACCCCTTTTCACAGGGGAAACGGGCCTGTGCAGGGCAAATGATTTGCCCAAGATTAGACAATACTAGTGACACTATCTTATAAAAAAATCTAGTATATCTATGAGGTAGATCTATCAAAAACAGTGCATTACTTAAACAATTACAGGCCATCTAAATATATTTATATAATTCACCAAATTTTCACCATGTTTCCATAGTGCTTTGTTTTCTGGTGAACACCAAACTCTCCCTTAATTTTGGTAGTGCTTGAAAAGGTGTATCTTGATACTCCCTCAATGCAAGAACACTTTGTTCTATTAAACTGGCATTCCATGATGCTCACCTTCCCGACACAATCACTGAAGACAAAGCAGGTACATAAGCAAATGTGGTGAAGAAAGCTGACGGTGACCGGTTTTTCAAAAGATATAGCATCTGGGGTCTTAAAGGCTTGAAGGTAAACAAGTGGCCATCTAGCTCAGAAGCAACAAAGCCCACATGGAAGAAGCATACCAGCCTGTGTGATCACAAGGTGTCGATGGGATCAGGTATCAGGCATCAAAGAACAAAAAAATCAAATCATTGTGAATGAGGGGGAGTGCGGAGTGGGGACCCAAGACCCATCTTTAGGCAACTGGATATCCCTTTACAGAAGGGTCTCCAGGAGGAGACGAGCCAGTCAGGGTGCAGTGTAGCAACGATGAAACATACAACTTTCCTCTAGTTCCTAAAGGCTTTCTCCCCCCCACTATCATGATCCCAATTCTACCTTACAAATCTGGCTAGACCAGAGGATGTACACTGGTACAGATAAGAACTGGAAACACATGGAATACAGGACAGATGATCCCTTCAGGACCAGTGCTGAGAGTGGCGATACCAGGAGGGTGGAGGGAGGGTTGGGTAGAAAGGGGGAACTGATTACAAGGATCTACATATAACTTCCTCCCTAGGGGATGGACAAACAGAAAAGTGGGTGAAGGGAGACATATCACAAAATAATAATAATTTATAAATTATCAACAGTTCATGAAGGAGGTAGGAGCGGGGAGGGAGGGGAAAAATGAGGAGCTGATACTAAGGGCTCAAGTAGAAAGCAAATGTTTTGAGAATGACGATGGCAACAAATGTACAAATGTGCTTGATACAATGGTATGGATTGTGATAAAAGTTGTACGAGCCCCCAATAAAATGATTAAAAAAAAAAAAAGAAAGCAAAGGTGTATCTTGAATATAAAAGGTGGCTAGGAACCATCACATGGAGCAATAATCTTTTACTAGATTATTAATCTCAATGTAAGGCATTAGAATGACAATATGCTTATCCAAAATGCTTGTTTGGGGTAATACTGATTTCAAATAGTACAACATGAAATCCCCTAAAAGCGGCTTTCTTTCATTTTTCTGACATAGGCCACACAATCATCCGCACAGCATCAGTGACAGTTCCAGGTCTCAGTGTTGCCATAGCAACTGCTTTTGGAAAATGGAAACTAGTATCAGTGAGCAGTGACCTGATATTATAGTAATAATTCATCCATGTAATAGAATCTTCTCCCTTTACCCAGATGCGTTAATTTTCACAAGGCTTTTCCAAACTGGCGTGGCTGATGATACTTTCTTGAATATGTTTTCCTTTTTCCTACGGTTTTCATGACCATCTCACCTAAAGGACCTCCCTAGCCAAAGCTGCTGACTGCCAAAGCCGCTGACTGCCAAAGGCAACTGAATGTTTCCATGTGCAATGACTTTATCACGTGACTCGAAGAAAAGAACTTTCTCAGAGAAGTATAATACATAAATACCAATTTTCCAGTTCTTATTTTACAATTTTTTGGATTTTATAATTATATTTAAAGGTTATTATTTCTTAAATATAATTAAAACATACAAATGAATAAAAAACGAGCACTGACAAACTGACATTGAGTGACACT